CGAGAGGGGGAGGATGAGGATCTGTTCGGCCTCAACGCCAGCTCAGCCTGAAGTGCGGTTGCAACGATGGCTGGAAGTCGCTGTAGAGAAATGTGAGGAGAGAGCCTCGCATCGAGCCACCTGCGGCCCCATGGGCCTGGTGGCAGAAGGCCTGCGCACACCAGAGCCAGATGAGCGGCCCCGCAGCCGGGGTAGGGCAAGGCGAAAAAGAAAGAACATGAGTCAGACGCCGAACCACTTTCTGTGCCTTCTCTCGCTTGGCGGCTGCATCCAGCCGCTAAAAAAAAACGCAGGGGCTGCGCAACAGCGCGAAACTCAAAGGCCTGACGCACCTCCTCCGCAGGGGAGGGCGGGCGGAAGGCACGTGGGAGGACGGAGAGGGAGCCCCTCCTCCCCCTCACGAGGAACGCCAGCCCTGGGAAAGAGAAGCATGGGGATGCGCCTGCCCGCTCGGACGAGGGAAGGCCTCCGCTGCGAACCTCGAGGCCGAGCCGTACAGTGCGCAGACAGCACCAACATGAACGGCGACATGTCGACGCCTTGGGCTTGGATGGATGCCTTTGCAAAGATCACGCCAAGCATACTCGGCGTGCCTGGAAGGACTCCCATTGCAGATAGTTCCCAGACCGTCGATTACACCACCAATGCTGTTGCATGTCTTTTCATGCGAACTACCAAGTGCGAGTTGCCTCTGAAGCAAAACTCTGTACCCCAAGTCGACAAGGACTCCCTCTTACAACTTGCGTTTGCCCGAACAGTGGCCTGGCACTGGCTCGTGAACAGATCTACTCCACAAGAGACACACCCTGCACCGCCGAAGGCCCGGCCAGGGTAACCCAGTCATGGCACTGGCGGTCGTGAGGAATCTAGGGGCCGACGGAGGAGGCTCATAGGAGGCCTGAGAGATAGAGAGAGAGCAGTGCGAGGCCACTCTGAGAGTAATTTGGCAACCAGCTTACATACCGCCTTGGCAATGGCAACATGTCGGTCCACCGCCTCGAAGCCAACAGGGTCAGAGGAATGAATCGAGAGGGCGTGCTTAGCGGCAAAGTCCACGTCAATATTGCATTTCCTGCAAACATGCTCGTGAAAGCTGGTACCCTCGGCGTCAAGGTCCTTATGGGCAACAACCGTAAAGATGTCAGAGACGAGCGAGCATTCTCTAGTATTGGTCGCCATCATAATGCCGCCGCACACACGCTTAGCAGAGAGACGCTCTGGAAGCGGTAAGCTAAAAAGCTTACCACACTCAGAATACAGAGTAGAGGTATACTTGGCCATCATGTCGGCCATGCCTCTAGCCAGAAATTACCAGCTTGCAAAGTGTGCGAACAATGAATCCACACAGACCCCCCGACGTTCCCGACTAGCGCCCCACAATCAGAGTGCCTTGTGATGGCCCACGACGCCCTGGTAAATTCTTTGACCGCGTGCCGAAGGCAGGACCCGTCGAGAAGCCGGTGAACCCAAACCGAGCTGTCCTGGGGAGCTCCGACCCCCTCGGGACCCTCCGGGGCCTTACTGCGCCAGCCGAACTGGGCACCGCCCTCCAGATACGGCCTTGAAGCTGGTCGGTGGAATGGGCGAAAGCCCCGAAACAATATAAAAGCACAGAGTAATCTTCAGTCCCGGTATCCAAAGCGGCCGCGATGATTGCAGTCCTTCAACAGGCTCCCTGCGCGACGCGGCAACGGAGGGGCAGACCCACAGGGGGTGACGGTGAGAATCTTAGCCGCCACGGTGTATGCGCCTGGGGCTGAGGACATGTCCACACCAGATCGCACGATCAGGGGTCCAGTCCAGATCGCATTGCACACTAAGGCCCTGATCATCCCCTTTCTCACTGGGCGAGGACGCCTTGGAGTTCAGAGCAGCTCCGGGAATAGCCAGGCACGGCCGCCCCCATCGTTCCACTTGCTTCCAAGGCGCATCTCCAACGAGCACACCAGGTCCTCGCGACAGAGGATCGCCAACAGAGCAGAACTGGTCACAGACCGACGGAACGTCACACCCCCGACCATTCATGATAGCGTGATAAAGTTGGCCGACCCGGGCGAGGAAAGTCTTCGCGCGCGTCGTAATCGAGCCACCAACCGTGGCCCGCGTACCAAAGCCTGGCGAAGCACTCAGTGCGAGGAGGAGGAGGAGGTGGAGGAGGAGGAGGAGGAGGAGGAGTAGGAGGAGGAGGAGGAGGAGGAGGAGGAGGAGGAGGAGGAGGAGGAGGAGGAGGCGGACTCCTCCTCCTCCTCCTCCTCGCCCTCCTCGCCCTCCCCATGAAAGAGGAGCACCCCTGGTCCGCAGGTCCCAGAAGCCCCAGGAGGCATCAGGAGGCTGAGGCTGATGAGCAGGGGGAGGAGGAGGAGGAGGAGGAGGAGGAGGAGGAGGAGGAGGAGGAGGAGGAGGAGGAGGAGGAGGAGGAGGAGAAGAAGGAAACGTGGGAGTAGAAGCAAGGAGAGGAGGACCCTCCCCGGATCCTGCCTTTGGTCATCTGCCGTGGCCACCGCCAGCGGCTGCACGGACCGCGGCGCGGCGAGAGCGGCGGGCGGCGGCATGCCTGGCCCGGCGGGGCAAGGGGGAGCCGAGAGGAGGGGGGAAGCCGCAAGATCTGCCAGGTGTCCTGCATGGCTCAGAGGGTCAAGCGAACGACTTGGCGCCGAGACCCGCGCTAAGGGCAAACTACACGAGGGAGGACACCCTCCAGAGCTGCGCGGGACTGCGCCCCCCGTGACACGGTGGGCGGCGCAAGACTACGGCGACTGCACTGCCGTGACTAATGCGAGCGCCTCCCTGGAACCCCGCAATGCCCTTCTCCCCTTCTGGCCCCCCCCCCCTTGTTTCCTCCGGATCCGATTGATCGAAGACCCGGGCGATATGTCTTCGCTATTGTGAAAAACAGCTACAGATGCCACAGGACCGCTTAGATCACGACAAACCCCTGCTCAGCAGAGCCAATTGATTGTATCGTTTTCCTAAACTTGGAACCGCCGTGTTACATCCGCCACGGTGCCCTGATTCACGAATTGGAGCGTCCTCTGGTCCTTCAAATCCTGTCCTCAAACATACAATGTGAAGACGCCCAGACCCCAAATTGTCGGATTCCCCTTGGTTCAGTCCTGGTAACAAACGCTGTTCAAATCTAAACCGCGCTTCTCGTTAAACCCAAACCAAAAAACGCGCCGACGCAATTCGTTCACCGTTTTTACCTAACAGCGAAGACTGATAGGCTTCTAGTGGGCTCAAAAGAAAACATCTTGACTCCCCAGGGGGGTCTGGGCAGATGCCGGACGGGTGCCGGGGAAAACCGGGGACTCCCCATTTTGATTGCCACGAGCTACATTTTGACCGCCCAGAGCCAACAGAACACCATTCCCAGGACACATTTTGAATGCCCGGAGCCAACTGTGGGCCACTTCGTGTTCTTCGTGTCCCCAGAACACCATTCCCAGGCCACATTTTGAATGCCCGGAGCCAACTGTAGGTCACTTCGTGTTCTTCGTGTTCCCAGAACATAATTCCCAGGCCACATTTTGAATGCCCAGAGCCAACTGTGGGCCACTTCGTGTTCTTCGTGTTCCCAGAACACCACTCCCAGGCCACATTGTGAATGCCCAGACCCAACTGTAGACCACTTCGTGTTCTTCGTGTTCCCAGAAAACCATTCCTGTATGGGGAAGTACGGTTGTGGGGAATCAAGAGAAACAAACCATTTCCCCAGAGCTTCTGAGGACATCGGTTCGCCCCCAATCGGGCGCGCACCCCCCGTGAACCCGACCCCGTTCGTGGGCGCACCCGTTTGGGCCCGACCCCTGTCGGGAAGCAGACAACAGTCCATTATTTATCCAAAGTGATGATCGGCGCAACGCACTACCGTTGCCTACACAAGGAAAGCATTCGGCGACAGGGCTGGAATCCGCACGCCCGTTGGACAGCGTTGCGCGACATCTGTCCACTGGTAGCACGGTGGAAACAGCACGCGACCAGAGCACGGAGCCCATTCGCTCATAGAGAGCAGCCCTACAGCCCCACCAACAAACCCGCGGCCAATTGCACTACATTGCAGAAGGCCCTTGAGCAGCCCAGGCGGGCCGAATCGCCCAGCGCGGAAGGACCATGAACAACTGCTGGTCATAGCCAGCGAAGCGTGCCCGCAAACATGAAATACAATCAAACACATCGGCTTGACTACGCTGGTCCGTGCAATAACGACACGACCACAGCACGCTACACTTGCGTCGTAATGGTTTGAGCCGAACTTGGTTGAGCGGAAATGGCTGCTTCTAGTGGCCAAAATGGCAACGGCAGGTGGAGTGAGGAGAAGGAAGAGGAGGGAAGGAGGAGGAGGAGGAGGATGGGTTGATCCCCTCACCGCCTTAGCGCAAAACAAACGGAAGAGGAGGAGGAGAGGGGGGGAGGAGGAGGAGGAGAAGGAGGAGGGAGGAGGAGGAGGAGGACGACGAGGAGATACGAGGCGGAGGAGGAGGAGGGAGAGGGGGAGGAGGAAGGGGGGGAGAGAGGAAGGGGATGGATGGGGGGGGGAAGGGATCGAGGGAGAGGGGATAAGGAGGAGCAGGATGATTAGGGGAGTTGCAAGAGCAGGAGCGGGAGGAGGAAGAGGAGGAGGAGCAGCACCAGGAGCAGGTGAGCAGGAGCAGGATAAGGGGATGGTATGGGGGGGAGGCGGAGGAGGAGGAGGAGGAGGAGGAGGAGGAGGAGGAGGAAGAGGAGGAGGAGGAGCAGCAGCAGCAGCAGCATTGTGTTTGCGCTCCTGAGTGGCTGCATGGCTGCATGGCTGTCTGACTGTCTGACGTCTCTGCCTCTCTGCCCATGCGCCGCTGGAGCAGGCGAGCACCTCCTCCTCCTCCGCCTCCTCCTCCTTCTCCTCCTCCTCCTCCTCGTCCTCCTCCTCCTCCTCCCCTCCTCCTCCTCCTCCTCCTCCTCCTCCTCCCGAAGTGGCCTCTGGCCTCCACTCAGCACTGCATGAACATGCTAGACTTCTTCACCTTCACCGAGCGCGGGATCTCGACCGCATCGAAGGGGATGCGGTCCCTGTAGTACATGTCGCCCTGGGCCTTCATGCTCTTGCTCACGCGAGCTGCATCCTCGGGCGCCACTGGGATATCTGTCAAATACGGCATCTGGTAGGTGAATGTTTTCCCCATGACTGCGATCTCGAGCGGCTCGAACTCGATACGATGCGTGGGGATGGGGTCTGGCTTGCTCTGCTTCTTAGCCGTGTTGCTCGTGAGCTGCTTCGATTCGGGAAGCTTTGGAATCCGCCACGCACTCGACCAGTCGGAGCGGCTCGCGTTCGTCACCATAGAGCCGTCCAAGAAGAGCGTGGGGCCGTCGCACTCACCCCCCGATAGTGGCAACAGCAGCGAGCGATTCAAGTTCCCTGCGAGCTTCGCGTCCACCGCCCGCCCGCCGAACGGCACCTTGCACGCGCCTGGGCCGGCCTGGATGAGCTTGAGCTTCCCGATGTCCTCGTCGAAGTCCGTCTTCGTGACGCACAGGTTGCACTCGTCGTTGACGCCGTAGCTGCTCCACATGTTCTCTGCGATCTTGAGGTTCAGGGCCGCGATGACCACCTTCACCTCGCGAACGGTCATGACGCACTGCAAGCCCTGATCTTTCGCTGACTTCACCTCTTCATCTGCGAGCTTCTTCATGTAGGTCTTGAGCGTCACGGTGGGGTTCTCATCTTTTGTTGGGTCGGCTGCTGCGCCATCCTCTGTGGAGGGACCTCCCTGCTGCACGACATCAGTCGAAGACGAATCTGTCTTTGGGTGCTCCTCACGAATCAGCCCGAGCAAGTACCCCGTTGGATTGTCCAAGATCGAAGCCGACTGAACGAGCTGCGGAGATACGGAGTCCAATTTCGCCAGCACCTTCGCAATGAGCGATTGCCGTTCGGATGGGAACACCTCCACTCTGGCACTGACATCCGCGGCAAGCGCGTCGGCGTCGGCGGGCTTGAACTTGGCTCGCAAGACCTGAACAAAAAAGGTAGGAGTATGAGCATGAGGAGGGGGAAGAGGAGGAAGAGGAGGAGGAGGAGGAGAAGGAGGAGGAGGAGAGGGAGGAGGAAAGGATTGGGGAGGAGGGGGGAGGAGGAGGAAGAGGGGGAAGAGGAGGAGTAGGAGGAGAAGGAGGAGGAGCAGGAGGAGCAGGAGAAGGACGAGGAGGAGTAGGAGGAGTGGGAGGAGGAGGAGGAGGAGGAGGAGGAGGTAAGGAGGAGGAGGATGGGAAGAGGGAAGAGGAGGAAGCCTTCTTCATGTCGATGGCCTTGGTCGATTGCAGCTTCTGGGTGAGGTCGAACTTTGCGTTGTTATAGCCTGTCCCGTCGTGGATGTTGGTATGCTTAATCATGTCGCCGAGCTTGACCATCATGTCTAGGCACAGGTCGCCCCACTGACCATGCAGTGCAGCGCATGCGTCGAACACCTCGGTTGGCATGTCGGTCACTTTGTTCAGGGAGAGGTCGAACATGGAGCTGAGCTTCTGGCAAACGTTGATGCCGAGGATCTCCAAGTATGGCTTCGGGACGACAGAGGGGCCTTGCTGCTTCATGAAGTGCTGCATCCCGAGCGACGCAGCGATGTGCATCGCAATCGAAATCCTCTCTGCCCACATTAGTTGCACCCCAACGTTGTTGTCATGCAGCCACGTCGCGTCCTCTGACCTTTTCAAGATGTTGTCCTTGGTGGCCTGGTCCTGGGCTCGAACGGCATCGATGAAAGACGCAACCGAGTCCAGATCATTGGGCAATACTTGCATCACCTCGTCGATCGTAATCTGCATCAAAGTCAGATGGGCCTTGTCTGGCTCATCGAGCATGCCGCCATTAGTCTTCTGGAGCAGCGAGAGCATCGTCGCGTTCAATGCCTTCCCAGCCACCAGGTGGGCTACAGACGGCAGGTTGCCGACGCCGTTCTCGACCACGAACTGCTTGGTGCTGGCGAGCTTGCCGCCGAGCTGCTCCAGCGTAATCTCCATGGAGTCCTGCGCCGCCTGCTCCACGTCATCCTCCACGCCATCTACCAACTCATCGAAGACACCGTCTGGGAAGTCAGCGTCGGACTTGTTAGGCACGAGCTTGCGTGCCTTCTTGTATGAAGCGGCCTTCCAGAGCTTCCGCAGCGCCTCGTAGCCCTTGACGTTCTTCTTCTTGCCGCGCACCCACACTGGGACGCTCGTGCCACCCAGCGCGCCGTAGAGGGCTGCATGCTTGAATGCGTCCGCCAGCTCCTTCGGGCCCCCGATCCTCTCGATGTAGGCCGTCATCTTGAGGATGGAGTCGAAAGCGAGCGTGAGCCCATCCGCCACGTCGTCTGCCTCCTTCTCCGCCTCGGCCTCCTGGTCGCCGTCGCCGTCGGCGTCGGCACCCATCGGCACAATGGCTTGCCCTGCAGGGTCTGCTTGTAAGCTCGCGGCGGCCACGTCACGCTTCCTTCCTTTGCTCTTGGCCTTGGCCTTGGGTTTGGCTTTTGCCGCTGAGGCCTTCGCCTTTCCCTTGGCCTTGCTCCGCTTCAGACTCACCCTCTTGATCTTCGCCTTCATGGCCTGCTCCGCCACGAAGTTCGCATGGGCCACCCCTTTCTCCACTGGCGCCATCAAGCTCCTGATGCCATCGAGGGAGTATGATGACAAGACGGGGAGCCCATTCGGTATCAGCGAGCATTTCCCCCACGGGGTCTTGTTGCGAGGCATGAACAGGAGGGTGCAATCTGGAACTGCGCGGGGTAAGTCGTGCTTGAGGATTCGCATGATGTCGTTGGCTGCGCGGAACACCTTCTCTTGCATCTGGATTGTCATGGACCGCGCATCGACCTCGGCCCGCACTCGCTCGCTCAGGGTCGCCCACACGGTCTTCGGATCGTCTACAGTCTCGGCGCCGATCTCGACCTTGGATGCTTCTTTCATGAACGTGTTGCTGACCTCGTAGCCCTTGTAGGTGGTCCACCACCCCCTCCGCATGCTGTCCATGAAGGTGTGATTGAGCTCGTCGTGCTCTGACTGCGACATGCTGCTGGTTGTCCACTTCATGACGTGCGCCTTCCGCTTCCACGCTGCCTCCAACTCCGAAGTCGCTTGCCATTTTTCAATGACAGTCGTAATGGTGGCCTCGGAGTTGCCGATGTTCCCCAAAGCAGTAAGGAAGACTGTCAGCCAATCTGGGGACCCCCTGGAGAACAACTTGCACCTCCTCAGGCCGTTCTTGACGCTTAATTGCACTGCCTTGTTAGACTTCTCCTTGTCATCAACCCAAGCCTCGTACAAAGCCTGGGCCCTGCTGGCGAAGTGGCACAGCTCGCACTTGTCATCAACCTGGGGGTCTGGATGCTGGACGACGAAAGGCTCCCCACCCAAGTCCTGGAGCAAGCCAACGCTTTGCATGACCTTCTTGTGTGCATCGATGGTGCTGCGCTCCCCCCTGAGACGGTTGTTCCTGTGGCGCTGGAACGCCCATTCGCCTTTCTTGGTCACGAAGTCTATGTGCGTGGCCTGCGAGATGCAGTAGGGAAGGCCCTCAATGATTTGCATGAGCTCAATCTCAGACTTGTCGTGGCCGTAGATATCCTTTGGGAAACAACAAGGTCGGAGGATCTGCTAAGACCACCGAAATCATTTGTAATAACGGAGGAGGAAGAGGAGGAGGGTTAGGAGGATGAGGGGGGAGGAGAAGCGGAGGGGAGATGAAGGAGGGCGCGGGCCTTTAACACATTCGCTGCCCACGCTGGCTAGCATATCTATAGGAGGGCCCATTCCATCGCAACATGGACTTTGTCAGCGTGCACCCTTGCATTGCCCTTGCGTGGTCTTGTGTCCCCAGTGTGGCTCCTACGGTTGTTCCGGTTGACCCATATGGATAAGTTATTTGGGCCTAACCTTTGGTATCCAATTGTGTTGTTTTCTCGTATACGCCATACTACCATAGATCGTGTTCGTTCTTGATGAACCGACTCGGACCAATTAGCAGTATGCCCAAGTCCACTCGTACAATATATACGATTACATACGGCTCTACCCTACCCCTGGGGCGTGTATCACATAGTACGCATATCGTGTGTACCGTGTAGTACGTACGTATAGTGCACTTCGCGTGCAGGGCCCGTTTCGTATGTAGTCAGGCTATGCGTGGTGAGCAGTACGCATGTAGTACATCGTTCATTTGTGGTATGCAGTACACAACCAGAATTTTGTATGTACGTATAGTGTTGTACGCACGTGGTGCGTTGTGCAGCATGCATTACGCATGCCACACGTACAGTTTATGCACCATGCATAACGCTTGCACGCGGCGCATGCCAGGCTAAGATTATGTATCCCGCACGCAAGGCTCCGCATCCGACAGCGGGCTGTGAGTGCAGCGCGACTGTGGAACGTATGTCAGATGTACTATGCATTGCGCATGTAGCGTGTGCTGCGCATCCCGCATGACATACTTAACAGCATGTGTATGCGGTATGCAGCACACGCGCACGGTGTCGTACCTATGTCGTGCCCAAGAGGACCCTGAGGCAGCCAAGAAGCCTAAGGATCGTAGAGATCGAGCGACGATTGACTTAAAAACCGTTTCCAGAAACGGTTTTTGGAGGGAGGGGGGATACAGTTTCCCAGTTCGGTTTTTGGAAAGGGCCCCCAAGGCGAGCTCCCAAGTGAGGCGCCTTGATGGGCGGAGGCCAAGGTTGGGCGCTCGGGCCCCAGAAAGGGGAGCGCCCTGAGGGGAGCCAATCGGGGCCCCGTGGAATGGCATAGCACACCATAGCTATGGCCCATGGGTGGTAATTATAGCATAAGGTGGGAAAACGATAAGACGGTAATACAATATGTCGCATCGTCGTATCGTCTGGTCGTCTGTTGGCTAGGTGTGCAGGTGTGTAGGAGATGCCCAAGAGGCCCCGAGGGCCCCCCCGAGGCACCCAAGAGGACCCTGGGACCGCCAAGAAGCCCAAGGATCGTAGAGATCGAGCGGCGATTGACCTAAAAACCGTTTCCAGAAACGGTTTTAGGAGGGAGGGGAGATACAGTTTCCCAGTTCGGTGTTTGGAAGGGCCCCCCAAGGCGAGCTCCCAAGTGAGGCGCCTTGATGGGCGGAGGCCAAGGTGGGGCGCTCGGGCTCCAGAAAGGGGAGCGCCCTGAGGGGATCCAATCGGGGCCCCGTGGAATGGCATAGCACACCATAGCTATGACCCATGGGTAATTATAGCTTAAGGTGGGAAGACGATAAGACGGTAATACAATATGTCGTATCGTCTTATCGTCTGGTCGTCTGTTGGCTAGGTGTGTAGGTGTGTAGGAGATGCCCAAGAGGCCCCGAGGGGCTCCCAAGGCACCCAAGAGGACCCTGGGACCGACAAGAAGCCCAAGGATCGTAGAGATCGAGCGGCGATTCACCTAAAAACCGTTTCCAGAAACGGTTTTGGAGGGAGGGGAGATACAGTTTCCCAGTTCGGTTTTTGGAAGGGGCCCCCAAGGCGAGCTCCCAAGTGAGGCGCCGTGATGGGCGGAGGCCAAGGCGGGGCGCTCGGGCTCCAGAAAGGGGAGCGCCCTGAGGGGAGCCAATCGGGGCCCCGTGGAATGGCATAGCACACCATAGCACCCAAGAGGACCTTGGGACCGCCAAGAAGCCCAAGGATCGTAGAGATCGAACTACAATTGACTTAAACACCGCTTCCAGAAACAGTTTTTGGAGTGGGGGGGTACAGTTTCCCAGTTCGGTGTTTGGAAGGGGGCCCCAAGGCGAGCTCCCAAGTGAGGCGCTTTGATGGGCGGAAGCCAAGGTGGGCGCTCGGCCTCCAGAAAGGGGAGAGCCCTGACTGGGGAGCCAATCGGGGCCCCGTGGAATGGCATAGCACGGCATAGTTATGGCCCACAGGTGATAATTAAACCATTGGGTGACCAGACGACAAGACGATAAGACGATACGACGATAACTCTGATCGGCTTATCGTCGTATCGTCTTATCGTCTGGCGGGGCCATATATCGTCTTATCGTATTATCGTCGTATCGTCTGGCGGGTCTCCATATCGTCTTATCGTCTTATCGCCTGATAGTCTTATATCGCCTTACCGTCGTACCGTCGTATCGTCTTATCGCCTGGCTTTGAAATAGCAAGCCCTGCGTCCCACCACAATGCACATGCATATATACATACAACCGTACATGCATGTATGCGGTCATACATGCACACATACGCCCATATACGTAGACACGTGTATCTACACACCCACGTACATATCTTACCGAAAGAAGACGTGCGTGCAGATGCGTTCCAACACACATGCGCATTGATGCTGAAACACGGCACTACGCATTGCACGAACTTGGAATACAATAGCCCCATCATGGTGTATTTCTACTGCACCTGCATTATATGTGAAGCGAAACCCTTTTTGAATCCCACCGTCCCGAATGTCCAACGACTCGTTGTTGGCATCCTTGGCTGGGAGCTTCTGCAGGAGCTCGTCGAGCGCCTTGCTCACTTCCTCGCTCGCCATGGCGACCGTACACCATACATAAGACAGCACTGCGGATGTGCTATGGTCGGTTGAGGTTTGGGCCATCGTTGCAGCATCGCACTCCTCTTCTTTCTGGTGCTGCTCCTCCTCTCTCTCCTCCTCCGTATCCTCCTCCTCCCCTTTCTCCATATGTTTCTTTCTTTCGTTTTCCAATCCCCTTCCTCGCCCTCCCCACTGTCCTCCCGCTCGCCTTTCTGCTCTTCCTCGTCTTCATGGGGCGGAGGAGTCCTCTTCATCATCCCCCTCTCCCTCCCCACCAAAATTTTCACGCTGACCTTCGGGGGGGGGGCAGATAACGGGCAATGCAATACGCAACCCACCCACACCCCTTGTCCACGACGCAACGCACACCTTGGACGCCATATCACCACGTCGGAAGGCCTGGGCGGTATGGGATTATCCGAACCCTCTGCAGGCTAACCTTGAGAGGTCGAACGGGCGAGCGGGTAACCCTGGAGGGGCAGGTGCGGCGGGGACCGTTTGGGGGGGGGGGGGTCAGAGGGCGGGGAGCGAGGAGAAGAACTGACATGGGACAGGTTAAGCTCGAATGGAATAGAGTGGGGAGGCGGGACAGATAGATGACGTTCCTCAGCAGAACGGGGGCGGTGATGCCCGTCGCCGCCACGAATGCCTAACGCTTGACTTCCTCCTACTCATCACCTTTCCATTCCTCCTCCTCATCCTCCCCCTCATCCTTCCCATCCTCCTCATCCGTATCCTCCCCCCTTGTCCCCTCCCCTCCTTCTATCCCTTCTCCTTCCCCTCATCCTCCTATCTTCGGGGTGGGGTCACGCTCACGAGTGGCTTCCCCTTTTGCTGGAACAGCTCAACATCTTGTCAAGTTTCGCAGCGAATCCGTTCGCCTGGCGCTCGACCCCTTGCGCACGATACCCTGGCGCTCGACCCCTTGCGCCGAAAAACGGGCCGTTTTTCGGCGCAGCACCAGCGCAGCAGGGGAGCACGATTTCCTTGGCGTGGAAACTTGGCCTATGGCATATAGGCACTTTTCCCCGCGAACGGGTAGCACGTGGAAACCTGACATATACACATGATGAATTTTCCCTAACATGGAAATCGTGCTCCTGCGATGCGCCCAACCTGCGCCAAACAAGTGCTGGCTCACGTATGCAACTGCTGCACATGTTGCCACATACCAGCACGGAGGGGCACGGCCTGCACGCGCGTGAGCGACAGCATGCGCTTGCATTAGCTCGAAATGCACGCAGCACGAACAACAAAACTAGCCATCTCCAGAGCAGACGGGGCAAACGACCTCGCCGTCTTCTCCACGCGACAGCCCAGCAAAAGGGCTGGCACTAGCGCAATGCTCGTGCCATGGGCTCAAACACACAGTGCACGCGTACAACGACCCTGTGACGTCTACAGGGTTTGCTACGCCACTAAGCTCACACTCCTTGCACAACACACATTTCCCAAACTGGCTGTCTGGCGGCAGAGGCCCCGAAAAACGATGTAGCAAGCGTTCCCTCAGCAGCAAGAGGCACCACTCATGCATGAGAGGCCGACGTCCCTGCTTAACCTGCTCCATTGACGTTTTCGCGTCTCTGATAATAATATCTGCTCCTGCGAAGTAGTCGTTGGGAACTGCGAACGCAACGATGCATATGAGTCTATTCTTGTTGTCGAGGCGAATGCGCCTCGCTCGAAAATGTTCTGGCTCTGTCCAGCGCACAAACGTAGTTTCCCCATCTTTGTCAATAAGAGAGATGGTGCCCTTGAGCATTGGGTTTTCTGCCACTTCCAACTGCGCCCTATGGGCGGCAGCAAGTGCTGCTACGTTCTCACGCACCGTACTGCGCACCCCCGTCACGATGCCATCAGGGATCATGGCCTTGGGCGCGACGGGGGCCTCAGGCTCAGACTCGTGTGATGAGTCGCTTGAGTCGCAAGCTGGTTCACATGGCTCGTCCTTCTCCACTGGGCAACCGTCGGAATCATCACTTGCCAAGTCGTCGGCGCCACCTGAATCTACTGAGCTACCGTCGTCCCCAGGATGGTCCATGATCTCTTCCAGTTGCATTGCAAGCAGATCGGGTTCGTCACCGTGTCCATGGTCATGGCCATGCGTATCATGCTCATCTGCCTCAGCCCCTGCTATAGCAGGCATTCCCTCTCCCTCTGCCCCTTGAGGTTTGGGTTTGGGTTTTGGGCGGGGTCGGGGCCGCGGCTTCTTCGCTTTTGTCGGTAGGATCCTGAATTCACCGATGTCCATTCCAGTAACGCTTGCTTTCATGACAGACTGCATATCCCATATAAGTGGATACTGCCGAAGCACAATAGAGGGCCCAAGCGGCGGCAACGTCCTCAAGAAATCAACTAGCAGCATTGACGCAATTGGCGTGTCGAGCTGAAACGTTGACCTGCCACCCCCGACAGCAACGGTCCCACGGCTGATCATCAGAGCGCGTGCTAAAGACCAGGATGCAAGAAACCCGCACTTGATCGGGCCACTGCAAAGTTCCCAAGCATATCTCGCACCCTTCTTGGTATCGTTGCTAGGTGTTTCGGCGCCGCCAAAGAATTCAAACAGAGAGCGCGCATAAGCATATTTGATAGTGTCATCATCACTGAGGGCAATTCGAGGGGCAGGCGATTCATGTGGAACTGTCGCGATATCGTCTGTAGTGTACTCTCGGAATCGATGTATGTATTCGGCACTCTTTTGGTATGTCGTAATATGTGGGTCAAGGCAGACACACTCGTGCACGTCGATGGCGTCACCTTTTTTATCTGTATCACGTCTGATGCAGTAGCCAACCTACAGTTCGGTGCCAGCTCTGTGACTCGCTGGAGCGTGCTGTTCGTCCCTTCCACAGCTTGCGTGTTGGAAAATAGTTCTCTCCGCACAAATAGCATGTACACATACAAATCCATAGGGCAACGGCCAGTGGCGCCAGCAACCTCAAGACTGCCTTTGAAAGTTGAAACTGTTTTGATACTGAAATCGATGTAATATGAGTTGTCAATCGTGCCATCGTTGAATGCCTGCATGATCTGCTGTGCTGCCACGCGCCGTTGCTCGCACACTACAGTATTCGGTTTCTCCACGAGGTATAGGAACAGCAATGGTGCAGACGTCGCCTCTGTAGGTGCGCAATGAAATACACAGAGGGGAAGGAAGATGAGGAGCAGGGGGAACGATGATCTGAGAGTGGAGGACGAGGGGGGGGATGGGATGTGAGAGGGGAAGGGGAATTTCGTATTGGCCCCGTTGGTACACATGTATATCCATCGCATGTCTTGCATGTTGCGGGTATGTAGAATGGTGCACGCGTGCGAGGCATGGCGACCGTATGCCATGCACTGCGGGTGTACCGCGCAGTACGTATGTAATACGCAGTACGCACGTGATCCATGATGCATATATGGGTGGGCGTTTCACGCGCGTGCTCGCGAGAGAGGCTGGATTGCCCAAAGCACGCGGAACGTGCATCACGTTTGCCTTGGTGTAGACGCACGTTCTCCAATTGGCTCCCTTCGCGGCAGCACGAACGCGGATCTGGGGGTGCTGATGGCGTGACCCCCAAGTAATGGTTGGCGTTGGGGTCTCTTCGGGCCGTCAATGGGATTTGCGCGCTGATATTATGTTTTGGGATTTGCGCATGCGCGCGGGCCGCGTGCATGGACTGCCTACGGAGACCGTGCATGTCAGTAGGAGTAGCCTAGCCGATGAGCTGGGGTAGAACAGCGGCCGGGCTAGAGTAGGAATGTAGCAGGTAAGGTTCAGAGTATACAGTCGTGAATAAAGTGAAGACAGGGTTGCGCAATGGTATCAGTTACTGGTACCATTGCGCAGTCATCTACTGGTTTCAGTAGACCAGAGTAGTGTAGGCGCGGAGGGTAAACGGTGCAGTGTTATAGTGTTATTGCACGCGTGCACACTCGGGCAAAACATGTGAGGAGTAAGGCTAGGTGGGAGAAATTATACGGGGCATGCTTGGAATCAAGTGCGAGTTGAGTGTGCGCACGTTGGGCACTGGTAAGAGCAAGGCAGGGGCCAGGCACTTGTGGAAGAGGAGTAGAGCAGGATAGAAACATGGGATGATCTTGGATAACCTTAAGCGGTCCCACTCGTTCTCCGACGCCAATAGTTTAATGTTTTCGCCTAATCCATTATCCAATCACGAATTCCATAATCACGTTTAGAAGCAATGCGGTGCCTTTAAAGGGGCCTCACTCGTCCTCTGAAACTAACAAGTTAATTCTACAGAAACTGCTTCGCTATGTAACTTCACTATCACTAATCCATGCCAAAACACACGTGGATGCCTCTAAATGGCCCAACTCGCTCCCTGGAGCCTATTCACTATTGGATACATATGTTGGTAATTGGTTAGCAAACGAATTTCACATTACCGAACTGAGTTCAGAAACTAAGTGGGTGCATTTAAGGGACCATCCGTTTTCTCAAATTGAGTATTCACTTTCAAATGAAGTGTTATTACGGTTTTCAAAGATGGATTACAGCTTGGTTAACTTATTTCAGGCACTAAGATGGTGCCCTAGATGGGTTGCACGTCGAAACCAAAAAAAACATGTGTAAAGTGTGTTTAGCGTTAAGTGGTTAATTAGATAATTACGCAAGGCCTTGTTTATTTGAGAAAACAAGTGGATGCCCTTAATGCCCCAACTCGATCCCTGCAAACAGTTAGTTTGTTTTACCTTACGCTTTAATTCGTTCGTTGTATTACATATTGTCCATCAATGCCACCATACAAGTGTATGCCTTCAAGTGGTCACACTCGCTATCGGTACAGATTTGGATTGGATATTCATTAATCGTGGGCAATCGTGTTTCATAGTTGCCTGTTTAGATGATTCGCAATCAATAGATATGGATCGGGTCTCACCTCAGGCGACGGGATGGAGTGTGATTGTAGACTGGCTACTCTTGGTTAGCCCAGACTGAAAGGCGCATGGCCAATCAAGATTTCTCAAGCTTAATTACGATGTCACCCCGCGGGGCGGGATTGACGGGATTGGGTTTTGATTAAGATGTG